TGACGTAACTTTTTTATTTATGAACCGATTGACATGAAACAAACACTAAAGCATAACTGAAGCATACCACAATATATTCGTATATTCGTGAAAACCGCATCCAACTCGTATAAGCCGTTTCTGAGATTAGCGTGAACAGACAAACAGACAAACAGACAAAAAAAAAGTTAGTTACATTTTTGGGTTCGACATCGACATAACAATCTGCTATTTTTTTTATTTTTATTTTCAATGTACAGACAGCACTTTTCTACAATTTTATTATATGTATAGATAGATAGATAGATATAGACTAAGAGCCCACTGCTAAACTTTGAGCTTTTTTTTCTTTATCATCATAACATCACTCCTTTTATCCCCGAAGGGGTAGCCAGAGGTGCACATTACGGCACTTTATACAGTGGCATCACTGTGTAATGTAACACCCACTATTTATTTTATGAGTCCCATATAATAGGGGGTGAGCCCATTGTCATTTACCGGTCACAATTCCAGACTCCGTTGCTACTACTAAGTTTTTTTAACACCCAGTAATACTTTGCCCGACCCGGGAATCGAACCCGAGACCCCTTGCCCGGCAGTCACACTTGCGACCACTCGGACGAAGCAGTCGTTTTTTCTTCTCTTATCTTATAATAATATTTTCTGATTCACTTCGTTGCGGGAAGACGCGATGCGGCGAAGACAGTTATTCATGTCCCTGGGACGCGCCGGACTTTAATGTTCCGGTATTTTCATCGTTGCATTTATCCCATGATAAAAAATCCAAGATATAAGTATATTCTATACCGCACACTGTCCCATATTGAATTACAATCTGTGCTTAACTCAATGGTTAATCGGCTAACGAGCCTAGATATTTGTAAACAAGCGATTATGAACATCCATAATGTTTACTAAAACAAAACTTGTATTGATTGTATCTCTGTAAGTCAGTACACGATCTGCCGCCCGCGCACTAACACGCATGCGCGGTTACCGCCGGCCATCTTGTTTTTTGACGCACGTTATTTTAAATACCTAGTGAAAGTTTTTGTGTTTTGTTTGTGAAAACAATTGTTTTTATTGTTGTCTGTGTAACGCAATATTTGGATTGTTTTTTATCTGTGGTTTGTAGAAAAAGAAAAGTTATTGTTATATTCTATTTTCGATGCTAAAATGCAAATATAGACGAAGATAAAATACAGTATCGTAGTGTCTAAATACGCACGCAAATAAACAACAAAAATATGCAATTTATTTTTAACTTTCTACACAATCGTCTATTTTTTTAGACAACAAATCACGTGATATTCTTATTAAATGGCTTCCTATATTTAAAAAAAACTAGCTGAAAGATGGAGTACCTATTCCAGAAGGACCAAATAATATAAATACCAGTCCATAATATAAATATAATAATTATAATCTGCTCTATAGACCAATAATTTTATGCTCTTTATTCAATTAACTGACATTATATTTTTATAAAAAAAATGCGTAATAGTATTATTTTATGTCTGTCGTGGTGGCCCGGAGGTGAAAACGGTTCTCATGCACGAGGGTGGGGGTTCGAAAACTACCAACGGCAAATACCAATGTGACTTTTCCGAATAATATGTACTGTCTAATATTATTTAGACATCACTGACAAACGGTGGAGTAAAATATCTTGAGGAAACCTGTGAAAGTTTGAAATCGCGTACTCGCATTGAGCAAGCGTGGTGATTAATACTCAAACCATCTCCGTGTGAGAAGAGGCCTTTGGTCAGCAGTGAGCACTCAATTTATCAAGCAAAACCTTCGGTTTTTTTATATTTGATGGGCCGACGTTTGACCACTATCTCGTTATAAATCATTTTACTAATCTGACTATAATTTAATATTAAAATAGGTAAAGACAGTAGGGGATGGTAAACATCAAAATGGGGAATATAAACATAAGAGAGTAACGAATGGAGTTTCTTGTTCGTTCTTCTCCATTTGAATCTACATTTTGGAATGAGCACCTAACTTCACCTACCTTCACTAACGGACTGACTGACAGACTATTATTTATTTTATATTTGTTGACGTTTCAAAAGTACTAAATTATGGTTTAATTGAAATAAATGCTTTGACTTTGACTTTGAAAATATTCTGGATTTCCTTATAATACAACTAGCTTCTGCACGCGACTTTACCCGCGTTCCCGTGGGACTAAAAGTAGTATATTCACGCGACTGACCCGTGACTTTCAGTTAATTTAGGATGAAAAGTACCCTATGGCCATAATCGTCTGGGATGCCGTCTCCTCCTTTTGCGAAGCAGTCACGCTAGCTAAGGAGGAGGCGGGACGCGTGAGGTAGCGATGCGCTGCCTCCTCGCAGCCCAGCCATCGTGAAGGACACTCCGGGCGTCGGGGATCGAGGGACGATCTCCGGCCTCCGTAAGCGCGGGCCTGCGGACGGCGAGCATGGGTGACTCCCCATCCGACCAGTATCAGACCCGAGCGTACGGCGCGTCATGTTCCGCGCGCGCCTCAAAGAGCCATCAGACCACTACGGGGCTCCGGCTCGAAGAACAGGAGTAGGAACGGGGTGGTTTTTAGTCAGTAAGAGTCTGACACTCCCTCACGCCTCACCCAGGCGGGAGCAGTCACTCGATGATTTTCCCCCTTTAAAAAAATTACCGAATCGTATCTCTGTTCCATTTTTCACATCACACATTAACAGTTTGTGAAATTGTGTGTCAAACAAACTGTCGCATTTATATTATAATATTTGTAAGAGGGGTCTCGGGTTGGATTCCCGGGCAGGGCAAAGTATTATTGGGTTTTAATAAAAATCTCAGTGGTAGCATGGAGTCTGGAATCGTGCCCGGTATATAGCAATAGGTTCACCCCCTATTAAATGGGACTCATAACATAAATAGTGAAAGTGGGTGTTTCATTGTATAGTGGCATAATGCACCTCCGCCTACCCCAAAGGCGTGATGTGATGTTATGTTATGTTTTACCATCGCAACGATATTATGTAATATTAATAAAGGTAAAGTAGGGGACTGTAAACATCAACATTCTGTTTTTCCTTATAATAAAATTCTGCTCGTAAAACGGCTAGGTACCGATCAATATAAACTACCTGAATCCACGCGGCTATCGATTTTAGCCTTATCTCATATCCAAGCACTTATAAAATACCTACTAACGCTTCTACGCGGTTTCACCCGCTCTGCTCGGCGCATATTGACCGTAGCGGGATGTTTAATAACCTATTTACTAGTTTCTTCCCGCGACTTCGTACCCGCAATCCCCTTTTCTCCCGTTCCCGTAAGATTTTCAGGACTTTTTCTGACTTAAACTGTCAAACACCAAGCGGTCACCGGTGACCGCAACCTATTGTTCTATAATTGTGTCTATAATGTCGGTACTCAACGAGTTAAGAACCTTCTCCTAATAACCATCACAGTAACTTTACTCATTCTTCTTTCTTCATACAAGTCATTTCTCTCTGGAACACGCTTCCAACGAATGTCAGAACCGCAACCAGTCGTTTGAGTTTCAAGCGGAGGGCGCGTGAGTACATTAGCAGAAAGCTGGCAGTTTCATAACATCTTTTATTAGTTTTCATCTTGTTTTAATATAGGATAAATTCATATACGGCTCATAGATATATTATATTATGTATGATGTTATTTATATCTATCTATATATATATGTATGATTATATATATTATTATATACGTATTTTATGTGTGCTTTGATGCTCCTTATTAATTTTGATAATTACCACTAACATCTTTGCAGCTTACCACCTACCACATACATTTCTGCACTACCCAAAGGATGACTGGCAGAGAATGCTGTTAGCATTAAGTCCTCCTTATGCAATTGTATTGTATAAAACTTAAATAAATAAATAAATAAATAATAACAAATACAACAAAAAATAATTAGTCCAGGAAATCGGTCCAGCCATTCACGTGTGAAGCCAAGGGGAAAAGGGATACATTTTTATTTTATACTAGCGACCTGCCCCGGCTTCGCACGGGTGCAATATGCAAAACCTTCCTTAAGAATCACTCTATCTATAGAAAAAACCGCATCAAAATCCGTTGCGTAGTTTTAAAGATCTATACATACATACATAGGGACAGACAGGCGGCGGATAGCGACTTTGTTTTATACTATGTAGTGATGTAGTGATGATAGATATAGCCTTCGTCGATAACTGTACTATTCAACACAAAAATATTTTTCCAAATCGGATCAGTAGTTCTAGAGGTTAGCGCGTTCAAACAAACAAACAAACAATTCTTTAGCTTTATTGTAATAGTATAAATGTATAATATAAAGCCGCGAGTGGTCGCAAGTGCGATTGCCGGGGCAAGGGGTCTCAGGTTCGATTCCAAAGTATTACTGGGTTTTTCAAAAAAATCTCAGTAGTAGCACGGAGTCTGGAATTGTGCCCGGTATATGGCAATAGGCTCACCCCTTATTACATGGGACTCATAACATACCTAAATAGTGAAAGTAGTGGGTGTTATATTGTACAGTGGCACAATGTGCACCTCTGTCTACCCCTTCGGGGATAAAAAGGCGTGATGTTATGTTATAACATAAAGCCATTAAACTGTCAAACACCAAGTGGTCACCGGTGACCGCAACCTATTGTTCTATAATTGTGTCTATAATGACGGTACTCGACGAGTTAAAATTACAACTTAATTGGTTTTCAGGGCTCCGGCCCGAAGCAGGAGTAACAACGGGGTGGTATTTAGTCAGTAAGACTCTGACACTCCCTCTCGTCTCACCCAGGCGGGAGAAGTCATTGGATGACTTTCCCTTTTCATAAAATAGTCATTTACTTTGATCATCACATGAAAGGAACGAATTACATTATTACTAGCCGCTACCTGCGACTTCGTCCGAGTACAATATGGGCATAGGTAACATTTTTATTTCAATTTTCAAACACAAGTAGCTTATGTTACTCCTTAGTACATCAGCTACCTGTAAATAAAAGTCCCGTCAAAATCGGTTTAGCCATTTCAGAGATCAGCCAACACAAACAGACAAATAGACAGACATAAATTGTAAAAATTGTTATTTTGTCATGTGTGTCATATGTAATGTATATTTATAATGCATGTAGTAATAAAGCGGTTATTATAATATTATAAATAAACAGACACTCCAATTTTATTTATCTGTATACATGTATAGATGTTTATAAATTAAGACAATAGATTTCTATAATGAATGAGAATCTCATAACATAACATAACTAGGAAAAAAATGACATGTATTTCATACTTGCTTCTGCCAGCGGTTTCGCCCGCGTTACTGGTGTAAAAAGTAGCCTGTATATAATTCCAGATTAGAGTCTATTTTTGTACCAAGCATTGATATTCAGACTGTACTGTTGTGTGGAAGTACTAACACACTTGCTAACAAAAATTATCACAACAAAGTGGCTATCCGCCGTCTGTCTGTCACTATGTATGCTTAGATCTTTAAAACTACGCAACGGAATTTGATGCGGTTTCTTTTAATAGATAGAGTGATTCTTAAGGAAGGTTTATATGTATAATACATGCATTTTGCACCCGTGCGAAGCCGGGGCGGGTCGCTAGTTATTATAATATAAAGCTGAAGTTTGTTCGATTGAATGCGCTAACAAACAGAAAACAAATTTCAACTCATAGATAGAGTAGGCTCACCCCTTATTACATGGGACTTATAACATAAATAGTTAAAAGTGGGTGTTACATTGTACAGTATCATTAAGTGCCGTAATGTGCACCTCTGCCTACCCTTTCGGGGATAAAAGCCGTGAAGATATGTATAAAACAAAGGCGTTCCGCTGTCTTTAATGATGTGAGCCTATTGCCATATAGCGGGTACAATTCCAGACTCCGTGCTACTACTGAGAATTTTGTTTACTTTTTACTATGGCATTACATACTCTGCTACAGGAACTCATAACATAACTGATGATAAGGAGGTGTTATTTCATACTAGCTATTGCCCGTGACATTCGCTGTTTTATCAGCCCATAAAAATATCTGCATATATTTTGTCTCGTGGGAAAACTAAGCTTCGGCACGAATGGGCCGGTTTGAGAGTGATACCACGGCCTCACAGAAA